TACTGGATTCACTTCTTTGTCTTGGGAATGAATAGCAGGGCCGAAGCTCAGTTGCGCAAATGATGAAGGGAGAACATTCAAAACCCATTCTCTGCTTAATTTTTTGATGAAACTCGACGGTATCGAACTAGTCTCATAGAGAAAGGTTACGGGAGAAAAGAAGTCTTGAGAAATAGGAAGTCAGAAATCTTAATTTGAGTTCTTTTAGGCAATTAGGTGGGAGAAAGGTGGTTAGTGAAAATGAGCAACCAAAAAAGAGTAGTAAAGCAGAAGTTGAATGAACCGTTCTCCTGAAAAGGAGTTGCCTTTCACTTTAGACCTCGCGCATATCGTACATGAATCAAAAAAAAAAAACCCGTGAACTCAGGTAATTTGTTCGGACACAACCACACCCTTCTAAACCTGAACATCTAAGACAACAAAAAAACTATTCAATCGAGGAATAAGTGAGTCATTCTGCTCTTTGTTCTGAGGGAGACATCAGATCCTCTCCCGTTAACGATAGCACAACCCCGAAAATACTGGGTATGGTCATTGAACACAAAAGCATATATAACTTTGTCCAAAAAAAGCGATGAGTTTGGCCTAATTTATGACTTTTCGTAACTTCTCAGCATTTGTTGGCACAAAAGTGAAGAACATTTGCCATCTATGCGTAACAGAACGACTATCATCTGTATAATTCGTGAAATAGAAGCCGGGGATGATGCATTATGCACAAAAGGTTCCAGTTGGGTTGTTGAAATGCTGAATATACACTAAACATGACTAAGGAAAAAGAAAGATACCAAGTAATTCAAAGATCAGTGGTCAGCTGCAAATAAGAAATCATACTCACAGTCAAGTACAGCCAGACTTATTCCGAGCGCCATGATAGCCTTTTCAAGTAACATAGGCTTGCGAGCCAGCTTATCGACCTAAAACAAATAAAAACGATACGTTAAACAATATAGGATACTATTCAGAAAATGTATTGAGAAAAGAGATTTTATTAAACTTACCCTGTTCCAGTACCACCAAATAGCAGCAGTAACAATGGGAAAGACAAGAGTTTTCAACCATAGCCAGATGAGGGTGAACCCGCCATTCTGATGGATCGTCTGGAATGGGAGAAATTGGGTATGTATGGCACAAAATTACAAACGGGATTGGCAAATCCGTTTCAAAAAAGACTGCTGTTTCCCACTTGAACATCAAATATAATAATGTGAGATCACCAACCACTACGCGTAGATTCGCAATTTTTCCGATTTGGCAGTTTGGGCTCTTTGGGTTCGCACTGTAAAAATATATTCGTAAAATAAAGTATAATATGTAAAGTAAAATATAAAAAGTAAAATCTAGATGTAGTCAGAACTACGATCCTAATCAAAACTTACGCGCATGCTGTTTGATTGATTGGAATTCTGACGTTCAACAGGTAGAATGGATAGTTATTCGATCCCATTTCAAAGAGATCAATCACCCCACAGTCATACATGTGTCCGCTAGACTTCTTAAAATCATCGAAATTTACAAATAATAAATGAAAAGCAATAAAAAATGCTAAACATAAGTAACTTGTAGTGATTTTTCCTCTAAGGGGATTACTGACCTTATCCGGAGGAATACTGCACTCCAAGGTTCGAGTAATATTTGTAGTAATCAAATCATGCCACTCATCTGCCGCATCTGTATTTGTGCGATATCCCATTCGTATTTCCAACTCTAGAAGAGCTCCATCCACTGAAAAAAATGCCGTTTGCTATAATGCACGAAGAGTAAAGCAGTATCAAAGAGCTGTAAAGATCAACACAGGGCAAAGAAAAGAAACGAACGGGCTAACTTCCAACAATGGGGTTGAGGGGAAGCAGTATTTATAGGAAAAAGAAAACAAGGGTAGAAATGGAAGGAAAACTTGATTCAAAGCGAACAATAACAAGATAATGAAAAAAGAAGTAAGGTACCATATTTGAAATTATCGCTGTACTCGACTTCTACTTGGAGAAGCCCAAGAAGAAACTGGAACCAAGGTGAATATTCGAGTTGAATGCGCTCCCTAGAAATGTAAGTAATATTTAGAAACCATTATGCGAAAAGAACTGTACGTACAGTTCCTTTGAAAAAAAGGAACTGAATTTCACTAACCTCATGTGTGGCATTTGTGCAACGAATACGATTTCTCGCAGATCAAATGAAGTAGGTGTGTATGATGAAAGATCTCCAATTACATCACAATGCTGAAAGCTTAGTTATGTTAAAATAATAAAAGCATTAGATAGGAAGTCTAGGAGGACTTTTTTACAAACCAGCCTGATGGGTAGACCACCTAGTCTTACAGTACGGTAGCAGACATCTCTTTTCGAAGACGAGTGGAAACATGGTTGGGGGCGGGGGATAGAGGCAGCGCCTTCTTGAATTATTGAGTTGAGGGCCAGAAAGGTAGAGGTAGCCGACATCGTGAGCCCATAATGGTGCTCAGGAACGCTTCATAACCGAGTAATACGCTTTTTTTAAACTTAAGCCCAAGGAAAGGAGCTCTCTTAGGCTTAGGATGGGTGAGCCATTTGGGGTGCGCGCGATTCACGCGCCAATATAATGAGGTCATCG